GAAAGTCAGCCCTGAAGAAGAAGGAGAAGAAGGTGGAGGAAGATGAGAAGGAAGAGATGGAAGAGCCACCCAAGCGAAAGTCAGCCCTGAAGAAGAAGAAGGAGAAGGTGGATGAAGATGAGGAGGAAGAGGTGGAAGAGCCACCCAAGCGAAAGTCAGTCGTGAGGAAGAAGGCGATGAAGGAGGAGGAAGACGGCAAAGAAGAAGAAGAAGGGGCTCGCAGGACAAAGAAGAAGGCAAGAGTTGAGAACAAGAAAGACAAGAAGGAAGAAGACGAGAATGAGTGTGAAGATGAAGATGAGGAAGAGAAGGATCAAGAAGAAACGAACCCAAAGGGAAGCGACAGGGCACCAGCAGCTAAGAGGAAGCAGAAGTCCAAAAGGGAGAAGGAGGACAATGAGAATGAAAGCGAGAAAGATGAGGAGGGCAACATCGTGCGCAAGGCTAGACAAACATCTTTCAAGGATTGACGGTTTTCCAAGCATAGAAGTCTTTAAGGAGAAGATCTAGAAAAAGAAAAACCCAACACATTGCTCCATGATTGAACCAAAGCTATGCTATGGTGTCTGAAAAAAATAGTTCTTTTGATCTTTGTTTGGATCCCGTGGCAGGGCACGACTCTTCGCGACGAGTACCACAACTTCCTCACCAAGACCAGGGACGCTTTGAAGAAAAAACACCCTTCTTGGAGCGGAAAGGAGATTATGGCCAAAGTCCGAGAGATGTTTGGGGCTTATGTTGTGTCAGTGCCATGTATCCGTGTAGCCACTTAAATTCTGTGAGTACCAAACGACTGTCACCACTCACCACTCCACGAAATCTCCGCGAGTTGATTGCCCAGCAGCTCCAATGAGGTGGAAGACCGATCCCATCAGGCTGAACAGCATCCAGAACATGTCTTCCTCAGACAGGAAGAAGCGCCGTTTGTAGGAACGTGGTTTCACAACCTTTGAGGGATCACCGGTGCCAAATGGCAAAACCTATTTAAAGCAGAACACAATTACTTTTCCTCAAAAGCCGTGCTCGGTTTTTTCCATGCCTTGTCTGGTTGGTTTCAAAAAAACGATGCCTCTTAGGGGGGGTTGTGATGGCAAATCAGCTCACTGGCATAGACCTTGGCCAAATGAGCTGTTGATTACGGTTCCAGGGGTTTTGCTCAGTCAGTCGAAAAGACTGTCTGTCTTGTGCTCAAGCAAGTCGACTTGAGCCCTCAATCTTATTCAACATCTAGATCTGGGCAGGGAAACAAAGTTTCTGCTATGCTTCTTATGCTCTTATATGCAAGTTTCTTCTTCGATTTGTGGAGACATGCTGAGACATGCTGTACATCATGATATCATGTGATACAGTTGTGCGCAGGTGATAAAGATCGACTTCTCCCTGTGGAATGGACCACTGACACTGATTTGGTGGTCTTGGAGGTCCCGCAGGAAGGATCGAAGGTGGCCAATGACTCTGATCGAACAACATGGAGGAACTTGTTGCATGAACTTGAGACCGAAGCTGAGATTGTCGATGCGTCAATCAACAGCCACGAGCTCAAGAGAAGCAATCAAGAGGGTGGTGTCCTGACCGAATATGGATGTCAAATGATTTCAATACACAATCGTTAGTGCAACTTTTCTCACCCACTGTTATTCGCTGTTCATTTACATCGTCTCGCCCTAATTTGCTGGACTGGCTACTAAGGTGAGGATGTTTTTGAGATCAAACCCAAGCCGAAGCAGTGCTACTTCCAGTGGAACACGCCTGCAGCAATCAACACTTGCAAATGGACATCTGTGGCTTCGGTTTTTTCTACGCAGGCATGAGTAAGATTGATTTATTAAGCATAGCACAGTGAACTGCATTTTTTTGGTCGATATCACTTGGGCCTTACTCTAAAGCAGCTTTTGAACAGGCTTTGGCAGCATCCAAGATGTTGACCATGTCATGGAGGGTTTACTATGTAAAGGAAACCAACGCTACTCGGCTAGATGTAGGGTTGTGCAGTGATGGAATCGTATGGCGCTTTCAAAGCTATACTTCAGGAGTTTAATGCTTATTATCAATTATATATCAACTTGATGCGGTTCCCAGCTTTGCTTGAATTTCTTTTGAAAGCAAAACTCAGGAAATCAGCCCTATGAACAGTCAAGTGAACTGGAACGGGGCATGGGCAAAACGTTGATGTTGAGTCATTGGCCGCAATCTGTAAAACAAGTCGTGGTTTGGAAGTTGAACCTGCCCTTATCTGGCTCCCATCACTGGCACACCCAAGCCATCCCAAGCCAAATAAGGCAAGCCGCTGTATTTCCTCAAGGGGACATCAAACCTCAATTTGGCAGAGAACGAAGTGGTCCGCTTGGTGTGAGGCACTCCGTGCGTTGTTTTTGGATAACTTAGCTCGACATAGCTAGGGTTGCAAGGCTCGAAGCACTAGCAAACAGCTTCAAGTGTTCAAAAGATTTCAAAAGATTCTGGATAATAACTTGTCTCGATTATCTTAGACTGACACAAATGAAACTTGTTCGACTCCATGCTAGTAGTGGCCTTGCACATGGGGAGAACGCAATGTGGATTAGATTGCTGGACGCTCTTCTCGGGACCCCGGCAATATGGCGAAGCGCCATCGCTGGGAAAAAAAGGATCACGTGTGGCGTCATGTGGTGTCTTTCCATGAAGTGCCTAGAGTCTAACTTTAAGGTGATGGACCATGGAGAAGTCATGAGAACTCCACAACCCAACAATTGATTAAAAGTCTGTTGAAGCAACATGTTTGCCAAGGTCGTTGATGATCTT